GCTGACCCCAAGTCCGTCCTTGGCATCATTTTTGTAACAACACGGGCCTCTGCCCAAGCAATGAATTATGATGAGTAGAGATGGGATCACATTGAAAAAGTGAAGTCACCGTTTTATGGTTTCAAGTCCTCTTCAATATGGTAGATGTTCATTTTGAAAATCATGGTCCCATTAAGAGTAGAATACACGACAAAGCAAAGTATGCTTTTGGGTGTGGCTATGCTGTGATTGACAAGTTGCTAACACCACAGTGTCAGGTTTCCAGTCACATCCACTCCTCACTCCTCCACAGCTCTACCCTCTCGTCCAAAAATGGTCACTTCCAGCTCCAAAAAATCAACAAGATGGCAACGGCCAAAATGCCAAACTCGATCAGGCTCTAAAACAGAAGTCCACAAACCAATGGGTAATGTCACAGTGGGTACATCCACTTCTTTTACACAGTCTATGATTAGTTTAGACCAGAGAGTGGAAGCAGGCGGAAACAGGTCGGTGTGGATGAATAGGTCAACAAAACATCTGGCGTTAACGGGAGACAACTGTTTGTTTCCCATTTCAAACAGACCGTCAACGTTTTTTTTGTTTTTCAAAGCATGACTGCAGTCGTTCCTTGAAAGTGTTTATTATTGTAACCGTGAAGATCCCCTAACCTTGACAAGGTACTTATTTTAATCCAAACCATGATCTTTCTCTAAACATAGCCCAGTTACATAACCCAGACCTCAACCATAGAGGTGTCACATCACAAAATGCTTTTATTGTAACGGAAATGATGTCATATTATTGTCAGTGCTGTCAGATCGGAGTCTATGTGTCATTCTAGAGGGCAGGGGTGGACTAACAAGGTATTTCGTTGTTTAGTTTGGAAGACTTGCTGGAAAAACTTGCATCTGACTCTCTCTGAATGTCTGCACTGGACATAATGAAAGTAAAACCTTTAACACAATTACACTGACACATCCAGGACTACTGCTGCAGCTCCACGTACAGGAAAGACTCACACAGTCATCACTCACTAATCACATTTTCTTAAAGAAGGTCAAGTGAAACTCATCGAGTCCCAGTTCCCTCTGTCCACGCGGGTCAGAGGACCACAATAACAACCTCTCCAAGTCGCTGGTTTGTAACTTGGCACACACAGACGCTCCTCTCTTCCCCCTCAAGCTGCCGCGCAGACCGGCAGCTGCTTTACATCTCCCTGCATCTCGAGAGATGAAAAGTCACATATTTTCTCAGCACGCTGGCATGGCTAGACCACATTACAGCACACACTGAGGCATCCGCAGCTCCACACACTGTACTGTAACTTCTCCCCGTTGCTGGAAACAGTGGAAGAAGCTTGATTTTTTCTTTTTTTGTGTGTGTGTGTGTGTGTGTGTGTGTGTGTTTTTGCAGCTCCACCCTCAAAGACTGGACTACTGTTCAGCAGATTATAATGTCTCTGTTTGATTCACACACATTTAAAAGTCATCTAAGCCGAAATATAGAACTTGCAGCGTGTCTCTGTGGCGCTTGAGAGAAAAAAGAACAACTGCTGTTGTATTTTCAAGTCTTTATAGATCAATAAATCCCATGTCTGAAGAGAGCTGGCTACCTCACATGAATGTCTTGCGGCTTATTGTTAAAATACTCAATGGTCGGGTTCTGTTTGAGACGGGAGTGTATTAAAGTTTCGCTCTTACACTCCTGTTGTGAAGGACAGAGTGTTCTAATGCGCGCACTGTAGTAGAAAATTGTTCTGGTGTGTGGACGTAACCACAGACTGTGAGTGGAGCTATTCATTTTAGAAGGGAAAAAACAAGGCTTCTAATTGAATACTATGCTATATTGTGGAATGTCATCCTGGCTTTTGGACACAAGTGAAGAAAAAACAACAACAAAAAACTCCAAACAGTATGGATGGAAAAAGAGCATAAAACCTCTTACAAGGCAGTTAATGGTTTCCATCTCTTAATGCTGTGGTTAGTTTCCATCGCTTATTAATGCACAACTCTGGATCACCATCCAATCCTCCCATTGCCGCCCTGGGGGGATGACTGTATTAAAGAAAAAAAAAAAACAAAACCCACACCTGCTCTACATTGACCATCCTGCGAGCACGGAGGTAATTAGCCACAGAGTGAGAGTATAGCTGCAGCATGGGGGGAGGTCGCGCAGACCGACAGTGCGCAGACACAGTCAAGGAACTGCAGAGGGAAAAGAGTGTCCCGTCTAGACACCTTTTTTCCTCAAAAAACCTGAAAGTCAAAACTCATTTCAACCCCAGCCCCCTTCTTTTCCTCTGGATTCCACAGTTGTTGGTTCAGTCTCTGCGTGGTCATGTCTGACAAAGTCTGGACTCCAGCAGGGTGAGCCGGGGCCAGGAGAAAAACAAAAAAAAAATCCTGGTTGCTTGAGCAGTCATCCAGAGTTTTAACAGGCTGTCATTCCACTGATGAAATCTGCTGTAGAGTTTTCACACCTTCTAAGCCTCTAATGAGGGTGTTGGATTTGTTCCATTTCTGCAAATGGAACATATGCTCACAGTGACATCTGCAGGATTAAACCCGATTATGAAAACTTGAGATACAAGCTGCATGAGGTCATTAAATCGGATCGTGCGAGGCGTGCTTTGTTGATTCAAGAGCTGTATGCAGTCGACTTGGAAAAATGAGTGGTTACATTAAATCTGATTCTATGAAGATGTGACACTTTTACCTTACCTTGAGGTGCACTTTATGTGGCTCTAAATAGATAAGTGGCTGCACATTTTTTCATGTTTATCTTAAAAAAAAATTGACAGTTTTTGGTTGCTGTAAATGTTCCTCCTGTTTGTATTGGCTCTGAAGAGATGGAAACAATTTCAGTGTGAAATTCTTTCTCTATGTTTACACACACAGTTTCCTCACTGGGCTGAGGTAGACAGTACAGTAAGTGACACAAATAGGGAAATTTGCATTTTAAAAAAAGCCTCTTTTACACTGCCTGTTCAAGGCGGGAATGTTGCACTGTTATCCGCCTCGCCGTTCTTGCCTGAATGCGGTGACAGTTATCTTGCCTTTAAGTCAGCAGCAGAGGTAGTAACAGCACCAAATCCACGTGTGTGACAGGGACAGCTGATAAGACGGGACGATGTGATGTTTTGATGAGATGTTTTGTGTGCGACCCAACACTAGGTGTTTCAAAAAGCAGCACGTAGCAGTCAGCAGCTAACTCAAAGGTCCAGGAGCTCCTTAACATCCGAGCAGAGGACAAGATCAACTGCATAATGAGCACGTTAAATGATTCTTGCTGCCATGTTATGCCATTGTTATTGTTTATAAAGCGCTGCCCAAAGCTTAAGTTATATGTCACACTTAAGCAGCAACCTCAGCAGTTGAAAAATGAAGCCAACATGGAAGTGCCAAAAAGTGCAGTTCCTTAAATGGCCACTGGAGGCTGGCTCCAGAAGCCAGTCAATCCCCATAGACACCCTTTGTTAAAATGGCAGTAGAAATAAACATGTTTAAAGCCTGGCACAAAAAACGCTTTTGGTCTCTTTAGCTAATTTTAACCTTCATGACATCTGTTTACTTTTTATTAAGCCTTAAAGTTACGAATAATTAAGGACGGGCGGCTTTGAGTGATAGTGTCCTCGGCTTGTCAGTCAGATCCACCCCTTGCTCCTCTGCAACGGCACCCTCTCGCCCAGATATGGTGATTTCTGGCCCCAAAAAGATGGCAACAGCCGAAATACCGAACTTAAGGCTCCAAAATGGGAGTCCACAAACTAATGGGTGACCACACTGTACAACAAACATGGACTTTCACCTGAGAGAGCGGTGTTTGTGTCCCGTAAGATTCTAAAGCCAAACCCTGTTCTTTTTTCCTAACTCGACCCTACCCTAATCTAACCATGTTAGTTGTTAAGGGAAAAATAACGTCAGTTTGTGATGTTGTACCTACGTAGTCCATTAATATTGAAAGAGACTGTATGTAAATGTTAGATTTCCTGTGAAAATGGAAGTATATTTTGAAAGAAGACAATACATGTAACAGACAGAACTTCACACGGTGTCCCAGAACGTCAACAACCAACACACCCAGGGTACCTTTTATGTCGTATGTGGACGTGGAAAGTCCATGATGAAATGTCAACGTGTGACGAGGTCAGAGTGAGAATGTGTTGTCATTATGGCTCCATTGCTACTTATCTGTGTAAAAAGGGCTAATTATTGTAGCTTTGGAGGATTTATCTACCTCCAAATGCTGCAGCCTCATGTTAACTTCGAGTTGAGTTTCCTTGGCGGCACAGTGGTGAAGTGGTTAGCATTGTTGCCTCACAGCAAGGGGGTTCCTTTCTGTTTCGAACCCAGGTTAATTGGTGACTCTAAATTGCCCGTAGGTGTGAATGTGAGTGTGAATGGTTGTCTCTATATGTGAGAGTCTGGTGACCTTTCCAGGGTGTACCCTGCCTCTGGCACAGTGTCAGCTGGGATAGGCTCCGAACGTATGAATTAATGAATTTCCTTGAACAAAATCTACACAAGGGGAACAATTGCAGCCACCAAAAACTGTTTCAATGCAAGTATGAACAAGTGAGCATTGTTTTAAGACAGGCTTGAAAAAAATGTGAACATATCCTTTAATCTTTGAAAACCATCCAGGATGGTAACAGTGTCTCAGCCTATCCTACATATATTTTTGTCATGAGTGCCTTTCCGTGATGTGCAAAAAGCCTGTAACCCAATTCTAGATAATAATCCGATAATAATCAAGTTGATTTCTCTCCCACTTTGTGCATTGGTAAGTTCTGACCTCTGCCACCCCTGATTTATCACTGACATGTTTGTGCACTGGTGTCAATTTGAGTTATTATTAGGGCGCATCTGGGTGACATTCCACCCTCTGTAGAAGGAGAAATAGATTTTAAGGGTGAATATTAGCTGTGGAAGTGGACATGATGATATAACGTCTCCAGTTTCTGTCTTTTGAGCTGTGAAAAAAAGTCGCTTGGCTAAATGTGTGGTTGTCTAGTGGAGAGAAGGCGCTCCCACTGTCGGCTGGTAGTGGCTTCAAGTTGAGCAGTTGAGAGTCCCGCAGCCGAACCATTGGTGCGTAATGGTGCACGACTGGCCGGCAGATGTTTCACCACCGGGACACTCTGTCTCCGCACACTTTATCTGAACTCTTCCGACTTTTTTTCTCAGCGTAGGCGTGCGTTAACTCGCTCCTGCCTTTTGCAAAAAAAAAAAAAAAAAAAAAGTTATCAGGGGAAGGAGAGGGACGAAGAAGGAGGAAAAAAAACTGGGCTACCTCTTCAAACCGTCCCGGTTTCTACCGGGGAGTTGTCGTCATCAGCACCCCAGATATCCCCCCCTTAGCTCCCTAAATGGATGGGGCAGTCTTGGTCTATGCAGTTGAGCAGCACAGGCCGAAAGATTGGAAACAACTTGTGAGTATCCGTCAGTTCGGCGTCTAGAGGGGGAACGCTGAGAAATGCCCGGCTGCTTCGCTGGAGCTCAGCTCTGAGGACTTTTCTCCTGCAGTCGTGCATTTTTTCAGGAGGAAAGGACTCTGCTCAAAGTTTACAACAGAAAGGAAAAGTCAGCGCTGAAGTGGCAGCTCTCACACTAAAGCCCTCGCTATGGATTGTATGTATTTATTCATGTGCTTTTCACTCAGTCAAGTCTTTTTGGATCATATTGTCGCTGCAGAAACGCATGGTGAGTTATTTCCCCTTTTGTTGCACTCTGTTTAGAAATGCACTCTTGAGTCTAAATGTGGAGAAATAATGATAGAAAATGATGGCCTATTTAATTGATTGCTCCACATAAAAGGTCTGACAGCCTGACACTGTGTTAAACTGCTGGATCCCTTTTTATATCCACAGGATCTGACTGATAATACTCCTGCTTTTCTGTGCTTTATGTAATAATATGTATGACATATGTTCTGACCTCTATGGTACAGCATGTCTTTTTAATCACCCATCTTTGCTTTATAGTCTTTTTCCATAAGAGCTTGCCATACGTCTGTGAATGTGATTCTCACTTGACACTATCTGTCCCATCAGAAAAACTCTCTGGAAAGTTAAGTGAATATGGTCTTATCGTGCCATTCAGCACAGACTCCCGTGGCCGGTACATTTCTCACGTGGTCTCTGCTGGAAGTGGAAGTAAAGGTGGTGCTGCTGCTGATGCTGATGCCGCCTCAGCGTTTGGCAGCAGAAGAAGGGTGGCCCGCGGTGCCCCCGAGATGCCCCCGGTCACCCCTGCCTCGGCGCAGCACTTGTTTTTCAACGTCACTGTGTTTGGGAAGGAACTGCACCTCCGCCTGAAGGCCAACAGGCGGCTGGTGGCCCCGGGGGCTTTCGTGGAATGGCAGGAGGACTTTGTGGAAAAGGCCAAGGAGCGTATCCACGGGGACTGTGTTTTCACCGGAGATGTGAGCGACATGCCAGAGGCCTCTGTGGCTATCAGCAACTGTGACGGACTGGTAAGTCAACGCATACTTGACATATTAGTCTGGAGAGAGAGATGTAGCTGAGAGACAAGATGCTTTCCCTTCTTTGGCAGAGTGTCAGGCAGAATGTGGAGTGTTGTGGGTTGGCTTGATCTTCAGAATGTTCCTGACAATGGCCACTTCACATATTTTATGACCTCCGCTTGCATGTGCATCACATCCTTACATAAAACACACATCAAAGCATTCCATCTTAAATCTACTGCATCTTTAAGACATCAGACATTCACACCCTGTGTAGTCTTGAGATGTGGCTCCAAGTTTGTAGTTTGGTTCTTTGATGAGAGACTTCTCAGGCAGCATAATATCTATGCTGTCCATTTGCGTGCTCAGAATCTTCCAAACACTCATAGTTTTTGCCAGAATCCTTTCTGAATACACCAGCAGGCACATGTGGCAGTTTGAGCGTCTGGATCCTGCTCTTCAGTTGGTCAGGAGTTTCCAATGATTGGGCTGGAACAAAGCGGTTCTGACCAATTAAAAGAGGAGGAGGCAAGCTTTAAACAACTGGCAGGCTTGAAAGGTTGTCGATGAGAATAGAAACAGGAGCTGTGGGGTTGTGATATTGACCTTGTGTCAATTTTCAAATCTGAATCCTTTCGTATTGTCTTACTTTAACAAACTGTCTTTGGCTGGGTACAGAAAAACAGCGTGTGCATGGCATGTAGCCAGTAGAAGAGTTTAACTGTGCTATTTAAACCTACATCAATTGATTTTTTTGCCCACTTGGGGGCAGCGCAACAAGCTGTCAATACAATGCTGGCATCACTTTATATGGTGTACATGCAGAGCAGTAGTAGCCGTCATTTGAAGTTGTGTTTCTGGCCACCTCACCTGTAGGTAAAGTTTATTTTTACAGCACCTCTCCCAGATCCCAAATCACAAAGTGCTTTACATTAGTAGGAAAATAGACAGCACCAATTTAACAGCACAGGGCTGTTCAGAGAAAAACACAGAAGCAGCAAATAAATAAGGATGGAGATAAATAAGTAGGTAATTCGCTGCAGGGACGGGCTAACTAAAAGCCTGTCTGAATAAAAAACAGTTTAAGCTGTTTCATGGAAACATCACATTAGTCCAGAAAATGCAATTAAAAAGGGAGAGCGTTCCAAAGATTGGGGGCAACAGCTTAAAAAGCATGGTCACCCTGACTTTCAGTGTGTTTGAGGGACAGTCATTAACTTTAACTTTAGCTTGCATCCAGTCATTAAATAAAAATCAACTGGTTAAAAATCATGTGGTTTAAAGGAGCAACATAACTGAATGTCATTGGCATAGAATTGAAAGGAGATGCTACTATAACAGCAAATGATCTGTCCAAGCAGTAGCATGTATAAAGTGAACAGCACTGGACCCAAAACAGAACCCTGTGGGACACCACAAGACAGAGGTACTGTATTAGACATAGGGCTGGGCGATACGGACAAAAAATCCTATCTCAGTATTTTCAGACTGACTGCCGATACACGATATATATATATATATATATGTATATTGGTATTTTCTACGAAATGGGCTACATGTTTTCAGTTGCAAGTCAGAGCCACATTTGAGATGTCACAAGCACCTCTACAAAAAACGACTGTGATTAAAATAAAATGCAAAGACAGAGATTTTTTCCCCTGTTTGAAAATATACAGCTAATGATCATAATTTAAATCTTTTTATTTATTTAGGCTATTAATCTCATTAATGCACAGAGCATCAACGGGGAGGCCGAGGGAGGGAAGGAGAGACACTTTGTCCGTGTTACATACGTCTTGTATATTAAACTTCTGTGTTGTTGCTGCAGTTTTTAAACAGACCTGTTGCCTGCATCCATGCGCGTCTTCATGTCATGAAATAGACTGCAACTACCAAGAAGAACGGTGACGCAATATGATCCACCTCGCACACAAACTAGCATCGCAATGCTGGACGGCACATGTGCTGCAGCCATTTCATTCATCTCTGACTGTGTTAGTGTAGCATGTGCAACCTACAGACCTATGTCACACTGCAGACAGATTAATCAGATGAGTAGCTCTGTGTCTCTCTTAGTGTTGATCGAGAACGTGTGAGTGAGTAAGTAGGGTGGAGCTGTGCGGAGATATAAACCGTGTTGTCTTAATTTATATCTTGCTTGAAAATATATCGATTTATCGTGCATAGTCGTTATATCGCCCAGCCCTAATTTGACATAAACTGACCCACAAAACCGAGAAAATTCCTTTGACAAGATATGATGCAACCAATCCAGGGCAGACCCGGAAATACCCACTAACTGGTTTTGCCTTTTTAAAGGGGTATTCCAACATTCACTTTCTTTTTAGCTCTGTTTTTGGTCACCACCAACTCTCTTTAGCTGCTAAATGCTCCATAGTGTTCAACGGCTGGTTGTTAAAGTTAGCGCTGTTTGATTGGAGCTTTTGTGCATGAAAATACCCTGCAGCTACATCTGACAATGCTGTTGATGAGCACAGCAAGAAAGCTAAAACTGTAAAGTTGTGGGCTGCAAAACCAAAACAATTAGCTGAAAGATGCTAAAGCACTGAGCAGAAATGCAGAGTTGGGTGATAATTCTTTGTAGGCTCATACCAGGAGTAACCCTTTCCACATTATACATAGTTAAGTCATGCATTGTTTTTATTGAAATACTAGAGACACTTTTTAGAATTAACATTAATTATCACAACTGATCTCTAAGGAGTTTAGCAAATGTTTTGTTACACTGGAATAGGATCCAGGATGACCTAAGAAGCTCTTTATTGAGCCCAAGGTAAATTCAAAAAGATAAGCCACAACCCCAGCTGACTTCTTCCTCTAGAGCCTTGTGTGTCTTCCCTAGTACCACCACCCTACTTTTCATTTGTTGTTATCGTGGCCTTTAAAACTGTGTTGTAGCTGTGATAGAGCAGAGCGAGTGGGAGGTGAGCCGAGCCGCTAATGGATGCTTGCAGTCGAGCAAATTAGTTTAAATTGGCAGGTTGACCTAAGTGAGGCTACTCCTCGGCTTTTCTGACCCAGCTGTCTGTATTGTTCTGACAGAAGAGAGTGTGAATGGTGATGAAGATAACCCTCTGACCCAGGAGCATTTGAAACTTTACACAGGAGACAGAAACACACACTTTCAGTCATGAGTCCTTTTCTAAATGATCACCCTCTGACACCTCAAGTGGGAAAGTGCAGGTCTTAGATTGAAGTCTGCTGTTGGCAGCTAGAACTTTAACAAGCCCACAGTTTCATCTCTCTGCTCCTTCACGGGTGTTTCAAGACAGTTGAGCTTTTGATGTTGCATCAGCACAACGCAAAGGTACAAAGGACGCCTCTTTGACGTCATTGCTGCATTTTCTTGCTCTCATAATTTCTCTGTATTAACAAAAAAAACTGTGCTGAAGCTAAGAAAACTGACTTAAATAGGCGCCACAGAGTTAGTCCTTCGCTCTTTGTGTAATAACAGAGAATGGTGTGTGGACAATGCCACGCTGTGTTCCCAAATCACAAAGTAATTTCCTGGAAGGTGACTGTGGCTGCCCTCCAGTGAGTCAAGACAAAAAGCAATGCAGTGGCCTTATACTGTACTCTCCTGTAATCTGTATTCACTCAGGTCAATATAAAAGGTTTTTATACAATGTTTGTTATGTAGTCCCAACAACACAAAAGAAAGCAGCCTTTATCACAGTGCTCTTTGTTTTTTATCAAGGCCTAACACAGACAGCAACAATGGTTTAGAAGGTGTGAGCTATTGAGTAGAGACGACGAGGAGTTATTATCCATGTTCTACAGAAAGCAGAGCACCAGACTTGCGTTAGCTTCTGCTCCGCTAGCTTATGTGCCAGCTTGTCTACAAACATGGCTCATGTCAACGTCTCAGGTGGAATTCATACTTCTGCATTGAGTCGACGCTGTACCTACCTCGTGGCCTGGCGTGCGCCTCCCCAGAAATGTAACCACACGTTGTGGCAACGCAGACCTCCTGTCTATTTTTGTGAGGTGACACCATTTCCCTCAGTGGAAACAAAGCTTTCATTTACTTTTATTTCACAGATAAGAAACAATAAACTGTGAAGACAATAAAGCCTCCACAAAAATAGCATTTTAAGTCTTGTGTGTGATTTATCCTGGCTTCATATGAGCAGAGGAAATCTCCACTTGTTGCTAGGCTAATTTATACAAAGTAAAATGCCGTAACGTGCTAATAACGTTAGCATGTTGTATTTGTTTGGAAAATGGGTTTAGCGTAAGACAGTTGTTTTGTTGGTGAACCTTTTGAATTGTAATAGAGTTGAATTTTGTACTGTTACCTTTGTTAAATGTTGCTGTTGTCCCTGGATTTATATCAGTAAAGGAAAAGTCCCCTAGCCACTAGGCTAATGTAAAATGCCATAGGCTTGTGCTAACAACATTAGCATGGTGTATTTGTGGGGAAAATGTGTCCAGATAAAGACAAGTGTTTGTCTGTGAATGCTGCGAGTTATAGTGAAGCTGATTTGTGTACCATGTTTAATGTGTGTTTTGAATCAACTTAACCTCACAGCACTTCACAGAACCCCGCTGCTGACTAGTGTTTTGGAGGTGTAACTGCAGAAACACATACACACCACCGCACAAGTATAAATGCTCACAACGGCATAGGCGATGTGTGTAGGCAGTGGTGTAGGGTCTGCCGCACAAGTATAAACTCTGTATTAGTTGTAGATACAACTGAGAAATTAAAGGACTGTTATATCAGGTTACTTTTGTTTAATGAAATATGCATGGCTTTATGAAAGCTAAGGACTGTCATTCAAGGTATTGAAACCTAATATCTGCCCGTGTAGAAAGTGTTGCATTGTTTCGTAAGTGTACTCTTCTCCAACATTTTGTTAACTTCCTGGATTTTCCCCACATGGAAATTCTGACCCATCAAGAGCAGCTTTCCCCGTAAGGCGTTTGATTTGGTCTGCTTGTAAATGCTGCCGTGAGAACACGAACCAACTCTAGGCAATTATGCA